GCCTTTAAACATATTTGGCATGACAGCAGATTTAGGGACATTTTTCTGGCAAAAAATGACCATTAATGTAAAAGTTCCAAAGCTGCTGTTTGGCAATATATGCGATTTGTTTATTAAGAAATTTTACAATCATACACACAAATCATAGGATGACTTGTGTCACCAAGAGCAATGGTTTCCAGTAGGATTTTTTGAGATGCTGGAAATGTTCTGTGTCTGCACTGTCCAGGGTGTGGTAGGCACTAGCTACATGGGCTGCTGAGTACTTAAAATGTGGTTACTGTGACTACAGACTAAATCTTCAATTTAATTCTAATTCATTTAAATAGCTACCTGTGGCAGGTAGGTATTGCACTGCACAGTGCAACTCTACAGTATGTACAGTGATCAGCAGATAGGCTGTTTCTTAAATTCTGAAGAGGTCTGGATGTGTCCTTCATGATATGACCTTGAACTTCTGGCCACTTCTCTCATGATCAGTTTCTTCATCTGAGAGATAAACTGATAGACTAGATTCTTACTATTGTTTATAGCAATAAAATTCTTTGTGTAAGGAAATTCCTTGCTATTGCACACTGATTACATACTCTTTCTTCATTAAAAATATTCACTGACGCTGGGCATGGAGGCTCATGCCTGTAATCCCAGCGCTCAGAGAGGCAGAGGCAGGAGGATTGCTGCGAGTTCGAAGCCAGCCTGAGAGCTACATAATGGGTTTCCAGGGTTCAATCCTATACACCTTCCCCCAGACAACTACTGATGAGAGTGATCATGTGTAACTCTTACACAAATCGAACATAGTTCTTGCCAATTCTCATTTATAATCTAAAATTAACAGCAAGCACATAATCACAGCTTTCTTTTTTAGTATTTCATTTACTTATTATTTATTAATTTTTTGGTGCGGCAATTGAATCCAGAGCCTCTCAGAAGCTCTAACCCTGAGCTAAACCCTCCCTCCCCAGCCCACTCATTCTTTCAAATTGATATCTGCTCATTCTTATTTATATTAATTGAGCCTAATGTTTGCCTAACTCCCTCATTATAATGTGAGTTTTGGGGGGGAAATATTTTAATTACATCAAACAGGTCTGAAGAGATGTTATCTCCTTTCCAAAAAGGAATAAATCTAACCACGCACTCAAAACAAAGAATTATTCATCTTCCTTGCTGAAAATCTTTAGAAAATGCAAACATTAAAAGACAATTTCAACATCTTTTAGTAGTTCTATACATTTAAATTGAGATAAATCTATTTTGACAACTTCTAAAACTGAAAGCACTTAAGATACGCAAATAAAAACACAACCCTAGTAACTTAATTCTAAAATTTACCATTTTAGCAACATACAGGTAAGAAATAAGTCCTAAGCGATCATAGAAATAATTGCTGTAAGGTGCCAGCTAATTTTATGATAATTATTAAAACATAATTATAAGATGAAGTACTATGCTATTTTTCCTTTGTTTAAAAAAATTACTTGTTACTACTAGAAAGCTTTACTTTCTTTCCTGAAATGCCAGAAATTCTTCTGTAAAATAAACACATCTCATCAAGGTTCTCTGGAACTGGTATAATTACCAGAGGCAATCCCTGTGTAAGATCAAAGAAGCAAAACAATAATAGGCAATGTGTGACCTCGACTGTGTCACGAGAGACCAATTTTTCAACAGGAGAAGAGTCAATAATCCAGAACAGAAAACATTAAATAAGGAGAAATGCTTCCCAAGTGTGGTTTACCACATCCATCAAGACTGCCACAGAGATTTCAGTCTCTATGGTTTTAGAAAACAAACTTCTGGAGATTTATCACAATAATCATTAAAATTTGCATAAAACACCAGAGGCAAAAACTAATTCCACAAATGCAGAGCAGAACTTCAAAAGATACCACTCTGTTTTCAATTTCCATGGATACCTTAAGCTGTAGGATGGGAAAGGCATAGATAACTGGATATTTTATTTTGCACATGACACTCACCTAATTTCACTATTTAAAAGCCTACCTGTTTAACTTTCCTAAAATTGTTGGGAAAATATTAACCAAATAAACACATTAAAGACATTTACAATTTTCTTTTGTTCTTGGTAATGGTGGGCCACCAAATCTAGAAACAAGGTCCCCTTTGTAATGCACTTGGTGACTAAGAATTAATTATAAGGATGCAAAGAGGAATAAAGAAATTTGCACCCACAGCAATAACAGCAATAACACAGAAGCACATCTAAAACTGACTTTATAAAAGCAATGAAAATTAGCTTGTGCTTTACAGTCAGTAGAGTTCGATCACTTTTCTTAAATATTTTCGCCAAACGACCGTCTTCTTTCAAATCAGATGTGAGTTTGGTGATTTACAAATATGTCTGAATTTCTTAACCTGTGAAAAATATTCCAATGTAATTCAGAGAGCACAAAAGAGGGAGATGCAGCTGGAAAGGAAAAGTGCTGGAAAGTGGAAGCAACAGTGTGCATTCTGCTAACACGGACTTCTTGCTCTGGCCCCTTCATCTTTCCTGTCATCTGTGTGTCCTGTCCTTATCTTATTAACATTGCTAATCGTATGTGTCAGTTCTGCCGCAATTTCAATGGTACTTCAACAGCTGTGGGCTTTCTATTGGCAATTATCAGTCACCACACTTGGTTTCTAAATTAGTTGTTGAAAGGGGTTTTAACCTTTAGAAAATAGCACTGTTAAGCCTCTCATTTATGTATATATTCTTCTAACAGGAGTAATTTTTTTTGGGGGGGTACGGGGATTGAACTCGGGTCCTTGCGTTTGCAAGGCAGGCCACCGAACCGCTGAGCTAAATCCCCGGCCCTAGGAGTAATCATTTTTAAAAGATTGAAAAAAGTCACAGACAAATGAATAAATTTGTAACTAATATTAATTTATAAATTGGTATGAAAATGTTTAAGAGCCTATTATATATCTCTCACCATTTACTTTTTTTACTATACATATTGTCATATATACTTTCTATATAATATGCACATGTATACAATGTATAAATTAGAATACTGAAATACCACTAAATCCCTTTAACAGACCCTTTGCACTCTCAGGTGGCTAACACCTTTCAAAAGTATCTACAATCATACAAGTAGTCTGTTAAGGTCGTGGGCTGTCGCAAGCAGAGCTTTCATGACATGCAGATATTTTTCCTTTCTCCATCTCTTTTCAAAGAGAAAAGTCCCTATTACATTGCACCCCACCTCATCTCTGCGCTAGGCAAGTACTCTTCTACCGAGCTAACTCCCCCTTAGCCCTATATTGCTTTTCTTATTCTCTAATCTTGATTCTGACATTGATTTTCTCTTTACTGCTACACAACGTATGAGGAACACGTTCAGGGGATTCACAAGACTTGAGACCAGTCATCAATTAATACCACCTTCTATTAACTATTAACAACTAAATTTAAAGATCTGGAAGCCAGGACTGGGGTGTAGACAGAGCTTTTACCTAGCATGCGTGTGGCTCTGTGTCCAGTCCACACACACACACACACACACACACACACACACAGAAAACTTACATTTCATAGACCATTTATTGCCTGAGTTAAAATAAATTCAAAACAGCTTTTTAGAGTTAACAAGGTTTAATAACAATCTCCTGTGTGTAAGGTCAGGCACATGTGGAGTAAGTTTTACACTAATATAGGCTCACTCCTTCCCCGTCTTTCCCCACCCCATCTCACACTCTGCTCCAAGGAAAGAAAACGAGATCTTCCAACAGTGCAAAATTCTTCCCCATGACAGAAACATTAAAATGATAAACATTTTGGAAAGCAAAGTACACTTCAAACCCTAAATGTTCTTTCAGTACCATATTGACTCTTCGAGTCCTTGCCAACATTTGGTAAGGATTATCCTTCCATTAGACAAAAGGCAGCATTCCTTAGGTAAATCAGGAGTTTTGGCCATGAGACTCATAAAACCTTTTCACAACACAGATTTTCAAGAGAATCCTTTAAGGTTTTAGGATGCTGCTCCTTTTACTGAGTAACAAAATACACCCCATGGTGTCTCACTGACCTCACTCAGCTGTCCTTTGACCTCTTCAATTGTTGGAACCTAACTCCAGGGCCCACAGAATTTGCCTCCCATATCAAAAAGGCTAATGTTGCTTCCTCCTAGCACCTGGTGAAACAAAATGCAACAGTTCTCTTTCTTCTGCCTCCTCCTCTCCCTCTCTGACTATTTTCCAGATGTTCCAGGCCCAAATGCTAAGCCAATACTGGGATTCAGTATCTGCGTAGTCACCATGAAGGAACAAACAGGGACCAAACTGAAGTGGCAATGACCCTCTTGTTCTTTTTGGCCTCAAAAGGATACAACAGGTCATAAAAAAGGAAAAGATCTTTGGCCTCCCTTGGAAAAGCCAGGCTATTTAAGCACATTGTAACTTCCAAAAGGAAAGCAACAGTCATGGGTTATGTCCCTTCTGATAGACAAAGGTTATCTAAAACACTAGCCCTAAACTCTCAATTCCAAGGAAGCTTTTGTTTTTCTTTGACACAGAAGGAGAAAAAGCAGTATAATTTTTTCAATTTTTAAATTAAAAGACTTCTAAAATAGTAGAAAAAACTCTTATAAATTCATTATAACATACATTGCAGGACAGTGCTGAGACCCATTTTAAATATAGATATGTGGATTTTTTGCAGAAGCCAATAATCTAGAAGTCTCTCTTAGACCTTTTGAAAGATAAAATCACAACCAACAAAGGGGAATTAAGAAAGTGCTGCCTTCTTATTTCCTTTATTTAGGTATATAGGAAATACAGTTTGCTGTGAGGGGGAAAAAAACTACTGCCGTGAAAATTTTGTTGGGAGGTAGGGAAGATGGGGAGAGGACAGGCAAGAAGGGAGAAGAGTTCATAGAATCAATTTAAGGACCAAATGTAGTAGCTTTATTCAGATTTTAAAAATAACTTCCCAAAACAAATTTGATCTAGAAGAAAAAATGGGGGGGGCACACATAATTATACAATACCTTGGTTTATTTATTAACATTTTTGAATCATGTTCATGATTAAATTGGGCAGTCAACACTTCAGGGAGCCTGCTGCCTAGATTATAACTTGGTTAAGGCTTTTTTGCACCTGTAAAAACATAAGAAATAAAAATACATACATAAAAACATGAGTTAATTTCCAAATGCATTATATGCTACAATATAATAAACATCCAAAGTTCTACAAAAAATCAGAATTAGAAATTACCGATCAAAGCTTTATACAACTCCTCACACATCATAACTGGGAAATGCACAAATATTCTTCCTTCCTAAATATTCCCCAAATAATCACTAGTTATACACACGGAAAAATAATTTGTTGTTCTCAAGGTTTCTCTCACTAAATTTATGGTCAGGGAACGCATTTGTTGAATTAGTATGTCTAGTCTATATTTTTTGGCAGGTGTTACCATACTGGTAACAGCCCACAGAATACTTTTGTTTTTAGTAATGAAATTAGTGTTGAGGTAATTTTCTTATTCTACAGACATTGAGAGGTTTATAATCCCTGATATCTGACAATATTTAATCTACTCAAAGAACCACCAAAAATCTGCCACATAGCTAAGACTGATAGAAATTATTTTTATGCTTTTTGAAATTAATGCTTTATTTCCAAGAAAAAGCCTTCAGTAAGAAAAGGAGCTACTGCTTCCTATCCCTTGAAGAGCATATTCCTAGAACATAGTGAATTAATTATATGTAGTTGGTTGAAAATTACAGTGTGCCTATGATTTTCTCCACTTAAGTAGATTATGATCAATATAGACCATTTCATGGGGAAAAAATCAAATATAAATAATAAAGTGAAATAAAACCTATTTGTCATTGTTTGTTTGTTTATTTTGTACTGGGGATTGAACTCGGAAACTTGTGTTTGTGAGGCAGGTGGCAGAACCATTGAGCTAAATCCCTGGCCCTGTCATTGATTTTTATATATAATTTAGCTCTAGTTTTTTGTAACTGTGTCTAAAAAACAAAACAAAAGAGGGTGTTTGTAAAAAGTAGTAATTTCAATGTGAATTTTTTGCACTAAAATAATGTTAATTTATGTTTTCTAAAAATATTTTTATTTTATTTTTATGCCAACTTGAGAGAAAAGGACCGTTTTAGATTTTGGAACAAAAATGTTTATCTTACCTCTCTTACTGTTAAAGAATGTCTTCACACAAAAGAGTAATTAAAAGTGCAGGGCCTAGATTTCCAAACTCACATATTCCCCACCCACTGCACATACAGACATCTTTCCTGAGTCATGAGCCTTGTTACCTACATCCAAACCCAAGCTCACCCCATATGATCAGCGAGGTCAAAATGCATTACTGCCAATGAAAACTGTGTGACTTCATAGGCACCGTAATGTTTGTTCTGTTTTTTTAAAAGCCAGTAATCCAATTCTAATTCTTTGGAGTCTAAAATTGCTAATTTTTGGCCACGTGCTGAACACTTCACCTGCTAGTAATGACATTTTTGTATTTTCTTCTAATTACACTCAAAGCTAAGACCTTTGGCCCTGGGCCACAGACCCCTATTCAGGATATACACATTCTCTTAAACGACCTGATCCTTTGTTGTCACTCTTACTCTTTCATCTATTATATACACCCATAGAGAAGAAAGATACTCTACCATTTGTACAGCTTAAAGCTTCTAATCATCTCAATTTCTTTACCTTTCAACCTATAGTCTTTTTCATAGTCAAATGCCAAAAAGTTTGACAAAATCGTTTTTTCCCTCAATTAAATTACCTTCTTTTCCCTTTTCCTACTCCACAGCCAACCTCCCTTTCCTGCTCCTTGTCTTACACAGGAGGGACTCTGCATCAGCCAGGTTTACAAATTTTGACTTTCACTAAGAAAATGAATATAATACAAACCTTAATTTGATCTGAAAGATCAATAAAAATTACATTTCTTTCTGTGATCAAAGAGTCCAGTACATGAAGCTGGAGATTTCTTAAAATAACTTAAAATCTGCCCCAGCCTTCTTTTAACCATACACATAGAATTTCAGCATTTTCCTGCAAAAATGCCAGAAAGCACTAAGTTATGTGGCCAAAATTTTTCACACATCTTAACATCTACAATTGCTCCGCTGCTCACAAAAAGAGAGGAAAAAAGAGAAAATAACATAGAAAACTGAAGGCTCAATTTTGAGTTTAATCTTTACAGCATTTAAAAAGACTACAGTACTAATTCTCCGAACAGCAGAATCCTCCAAGGAAACATTCTCTATCATTATGCTTACTTCCCAGTACTCTCCCCAGATGTGTTCTGCAACCCTGAAGCACAGAATCGGTTACCATGATGCGGATGTCTCCCTCAGACCACGAGAGCCACCACGAGATTCTGATTCCCAAGAGGTTTTGTCAAATGACACTTGATCCATCTCTGCTCTCTCTTCCTCTATTGCTCAGCTTACTCTTGATTTCTAACAGTGTTTCCTTGTTGCCTGTCCTCTCTGCAGACCCTCGAGCCCCTTGTCTTTTCTTATTTTCACCATTTGCTTCAACCAGCAGTTCACTGGAGACCCATCCATCTTGCAATGCCTCAAGTGACAGATGCTTTCGGGGAGGACCACACTGCTGAGTGAACAAAAGATAACATCACCTCCAGGAACTCCAGAGAGAAATACAACTGCAACCTTAAGACAGGGGCTGACTTGACAGACACTGGACCATAAACCTCTTCTAAGTGAAAAAGAAAACAATCACCACACACAAAAAAAAAATCTGACACAATCAAAGGCAGAAAAGAGTGATTATTTGTGGATTGCCTTCTCGCTCTGTAACTCACTTTTCTCCCCAAAGCTTTTATATGGGGCAATTAACTTGCTAAGAGGCAAAAGAAGTTCTTGGGAAAAGAAGACTTTCTCAAGTATCTTCTTTCATTCAACAATATTCAAAGTGAAATTCATTCACATATATGTTTCAGGAAATCCAAGGCTTCGATTCAGCATCCTTAAGCCTGACCCTTGTTTTCATAAAGCAGTATCTGGCCTCAAAAATGCTGACTCAGTTCTACTGCTGTGAAAGGCACACGCATGCTTTGCAAATTAAAAACACATTAGAAATTAAAAAGCAGCAAGCCACACAATGTCAACAATATGCGCAGCTCATAAAAAAAGAAAAGAAAAAGAGCTCAGCATTCATTCATCAGCCAGCCTCCAACTTGGGCTAAAAAGACAGTTAACAAGAGGATTCTGGGAAGGACTGCAGATCTCTCCTAACAAAGGAAAGGTCACAGGAATATCTCCCAGCAGCAAACTAATGACTGGGAAGCTGTGGATGCAGGGGACTCTGATGCCATCTAGGGTTTGGGCTTTTGTTGCTGTGTGAAGCATCTCATTTAAAAATCATCATAAAGCAATAGGAAATAAATAGACCACTAACATCTAGACCACACGAAGGGAAAATTCTGGAAAACATAAAAGCGAAACACTAACCTGGAGGTCAATTAAGAACACTGTGTGATCAATGTTAATTATGGAGACTAACAGCCCATTTTTGTAGTGGGCATCAAGCAACACAGAGGAATACCTGTTATAGCAAAATACATCATTCCTCTTAAAAATGGCAAATGAGGCAAATATTGTGTAACCTCTGGAGCCAAAATGCTCAAGAAAAGTCCATCAACATTTCTCAGAAGAAATGTGAACATTTGTAATAGTATTTTAGTAAAAATATTTTTTTAAATTTTTCTTTAAAATTTTATACACAGAACCTTCAATTTACGCTATAATAATTTTTCTTTGGAATAACTAATAACTCCTTCTCAGCTCCATTTTCCAAAAAAAAATTAGTTAAATAATATTTTGCCTCTTGTGTTTGAATTATTTGGAGGGTAAAAAATTTTCAACTTGATAAATCAACATAGCCTATATTTAAACATTTTTTTACATCTCCCTTATTTCCTCAAACACTTCAGTGTATCTCTACGAAAAAGACAGTACAATATTTCACATTTTAGGGTTTTTCTGTTTTTTTTCTTAAAGGATGGCAAAGCAGAATCCATACAAGATAAGGAAATGCATATGTACAGTTGTATAACTCAATGGAAAAGGACTAAATTATAGAATGTTTATCATTTTGTAAAAGACTTGTTCTAATATGGATTTGATCTTTAACTGGAAGACTTTGCTGAACACAACTAGCCCAAAGTATTCCCCTAAAACCACTGATCCAACAGTAGCACCTCCTTCAGCACTCTCAAACTGCTGCATTAATACAGAGAAAGACGTGACCTTGAAATGACAGCTCCCCTGCAGAAGGCTCAAGAAAAGATCCAATTAAATTATCTACTTTTAAACACAATAGAATCAATATCCATGCAGAAAAAAGTACACCCCTGTAGAAAGCTCTTATTGCCTGACTGATCAAAAACAAAACAAAACTTTCCTTTTTTAAGGGCCCTTTCCAGATCACAGTCAGTGCCAGAAATCCACACAGGAAAAAAATCCATCAAAATGAAACCCTAAAAGGGTTTACCCTTCACCATCCTATTTGCACTTCAAAACCCTGTTAGGCCTTCAGTTAAACCCCACGGCTGAACCATTTCAATAATAAGAGAGGTGGCCAGAGGTGATTTATCTCCCATTTGGCTTCTGGACAGAGCTGTAATGTCTAGGAAGCTTCCCTTCCCTGACTCGTACCCTCCCCCCAGGTCTCCACCTCCGTTTGTACAGCCTTGGATCTGCAGTACCTTACAAACAACTCAGAGGCCCCTTCCAATCAGATGCTGGAACAGTCTGTAACTCAAGATTTGGGCACATTTTCTTGGCAATGATTTCACAAAATGGAATGCTGCTGAGTAATCAGGGCACTGCAAACACCAGGTTAAACTGCAGGTTCCCTTGTTATAAGCCCAGGAAGCAAAGAAACTTCTTAACTGCAGCTTCTCTCTTCTCACACATGTTAACTGTTATCAGAACTTCTTAAACTTTTCCCATTTTATACTTTGATATCCTCTACCTTTGAAGCATATTGGCCAACTTCTGCAGTGTGTCATTCATCTGAATTTAAACCCCTGTAGTGTAAAATATTTTTAAAAAATACAAAAACCTAGAGATTTCATAGATCACAGATCC